CGAGAGCTGGGAGAGACCCTCCGGGTACATCCCGAGGGGGCTGGGACCCTCCCCAGGCACAGCCCGAGGGCTGAGACCCCTCCCCGGGTACATCCCGAGGGGGCTCCGACCCCTCCCCGGGCACAGCCCGAGGGCTGGGAGAGACCCTCCGGGTATATCCCGAGGGGGCTCCGACCCCTCCCCGGGCACAGCCCGAGGGCGCCGATCGCCCGAGCGGGGGTCCCCGATGTTCTCCCCGGGGGTCCCCGATGTTCTCCCCGGGGGTCCCCGATGTTCTCCCAGGGCCGGCGCCGCTGAATCCGCCCCCGGCCGGGCTCAGCTCCGCCGACCCCCGGCCCCCCCGGCGCTGCAGCACAGGAAGCGCCGCATTATCCCCGATCCCATTATCCTGCCCCAGCCCCGCATCGCTCCGGCACACAAAGGGCTCCATCCCCGCGCACCCCTCCCCCTTCCCCGCCGCCGTTCCCCTCTGCGCTCCACTCACCGTGATCCGCGGAATATTTTTCTTCCCCTGATAAGACATCTTGGGAAATCAACCCCCGATGTATTTATTCAAGGATGTTATATTTTTTGTAAAGAGAAGCGCGGCGGCTGCTGCACCGCTATTGTCTCCCGCGACCTCCCCTTCACCAGTGTGTAGATCAAGGGAAAAAAAAAAAAAAAAAAAAACCAAAAAAAATCCCAAACAAACAAAAAACAACACCAAAAAAAAACAGAACAAAAATCAATCTCCCGAGGCCAAATCAGTGCGATCCAGGGAAGGGGAGCGCGGGGGAGGGCGCGGCACGGCGCGAGAGGTAATCGGCTCTCCGCAATGGCAGGAACGGGAGAAGCAGCCAACCCTGCGCGCCTCCCTTTCTTCCCTGTGCCCGGAGCCCTGCCCAGCCCCGGCAAAGCCAAACCCAGCCCTGCCCAGCCCCCGGCAAAGCCCAGCCCAGCCCCGGCAAAGCCCAACCCAGCCCGGCCCAGCCCAGCCCGGCCCCGGCCAAGCCCGGCCCAGGCCCGGCCCGGCCCGGCCCAGTCCCCAGCAGCGGCGGGGCGGGAGCGCGCATGCGCCCCCCGCCGCTCCCGGGCCCGGTCCGCTCGGCACGCCGCGCCATTGGCTGAGCGTCCGCCGGGATGCAAATCAACGGCGGCCTCCAGCCAATGGGAGAGCGGGGGACGCGAGGAATGTAAATGAGCGGTGGGCGGGGCTGCGCGCTCCCGGCGGCGGGCGGGACATGTCGGGGAATCATGCCGGGATATCATGTCGGGATATTAGCTCGGGATATCTCGGGATACACGGACCGGAATCCATCGGGATACGCCAGGCACCGCCCGGCCGGCCCCCCGCTCCCACCGAAACGCTTCCCGTGGGCCCGGCTTAGTAAGCTGCAGCGCTGGGCGGGGCTGTGCGAAATGCGCCCTTCGGGGGATGCTCACACCCCGTTTATTCCCCTGCGAGATCCCCCGGGAGCAGCAGGAACGAGCCCGCTATTCCCGACACTCCCATCCCGGGAGAAGCGGGATCCATCCCATTCCCGGGGTGCGGGCAGCCTCCATCCCCTCCGAGCACGGAAAAGCGGAGGATGCCCGGGGGGAACTCGCTGTTTTCCACCGTCTTTGTCCTACCCCGCCCTTCCTGGCGCTCCCGAACAGCAAACAGGCGAGGGTGGGGGGAATAAAGATTTGAAGCCGCTTCCGACGCTTTGTTTGCCCATTCTGCCTTCTCCCATACCTCGTCCAGAAAATCCAGCCCGGATCCAACTCCCCCCAAACATCTGTGGTCACTGACCTGAAACCTGAGTGCCAGGGAAATGTGGGCTCAGAGCTACGCACCCGGCCGTGCTTGTCCTCTCCATGGTCTCCCGGGCCATTCCTTACTACGGCAGTGCTGCCAACTCCGTGTTCCATGTTTCAGTCACACTTGGAGTCAAATTTCTCAGTCCCTGAACTCCATAAGCTGGTACTTCAAGGAAAGAAATGCATTAAATGGCATAAATATCTCCTCGTTGTTGACAGCGCACTTGTCTCAGTGCAGGGAAGGGTGGTGGGATCCGTGGCCAAGCGGGTTCCTCTGACATCAGCTGTGCTGGGGTAAGGTACAGTACAATTTTTTGAGAACTCAGTGCCACAAATTCACTTCTGCTTGAAAATTACAACTAATAATAATCAAAGACTTACCTTCCCTCACTCACAATGAATTTCACATCACACAAACTGCATCTTTGCCTGCCACGAAATTGTGATCTCTCCATATCCAAACGCACCACACACAGCCACTAAGAAATGAAACCTTTGGTCTAGGAGAGCAGTAAATCATTATAAAGACATCATCTGGTCAAACAGACTCCTACCCAGACCTTTTATGTTCATTTATTCACAGGAAGCTCTAAGGAATATAGGGAAGTAATTTTTCCTGGGTATAGGTATATCACACAACATTTAAGGAGCTGATGTGTCAATCAGTTAATATCCAATTAGCAATAAATGAAAAAGTGGCTTATTATGACAGTAACAAAATTATTAATTTGTCAGCCTGTAGGGTTTATTTTGATTTAATGATTAAACTAGACAACACCCTAAATGAGTTATCCTGAACCTCTGATGTGTGCTTGAAGAAGATTTGAAACCTTAACATACTTTTGCTCAGAACATGGTACCAAGAACCTACATCGGGTCTCAAATTTAGACAATGCAACTGTTCATTTTTTTTCTCTTTGATGCTTGTTTGCCTCCTCAGTTTAATGTCTGAATGGTTCCATGCCTTTTATTTGCAGGTAGGAGAGTACCAGAGAGGAATCACACACTGCCCAGGGTTGGGAGCTGGCACCCAGGCCTTGGGCAGTGGATCACCAACACACCTAGAGCCCATCTCAGCTGCCCAAACACACCTATTTCAAATTTTCCCCTTTTTTTTTTTATTTTAAAAAGGCATCCTACTGCACATGGGCTTAATTCAGAGCAGCAGTTCTTGAACATTGAGTATTCCACAATCATATATTCCACAACTTGGATCCAGCAGTGACTAGGGTCACAAAGCAATAACCAATCTTCAGGAGACACTTAGCTTGTCTTTCTCATCACCTTGTTGCAAGAACCTAAGTAATGCAAGAATGAAGTAAATTCAGAGATTAAAGGGCTGGAAAACCACAGTTGCTGAAAAGGCAACAACTACACAGCACCAAATTTTTAAAACTTCCATGATTTAGGAGCATGATTTAACTCCCAAGCATGTCTCTTAGCTTCATTACAGTGCACTGATATGCCCCAATTTTCTTTGCTTTAAACTATGAGCTAAAACGTCAAAATAAGTAACTTTTAAATTACTGTAGTTTTAAATTACCAGTAAAAACTGGTTTATTTGGCCTTGTTAAAAAAAGGTGAGGAATGGAACTTGCCTATTGTATAATCTCACACGAGGAGAGGAGAAGAGCTAATGGACAGTGTTGGGATGAGAACAAGTGGGGAACAGCCTGAAATTACTTAAGTGCATCTTTTTGGTTAGTTCTGATAGAGCTTGGAGCAATCTGGTCCAGTGGAACTGGTTGAGCTTTAAGGTTCTTTTCAGCCCAAACCATTCCACAATTCTCTGAGTAATTCCTCTGGTAAATCTCTAGTTTCTGCATAAATTCCCCCACAAGTTAAATGAAGAAAAGTAACTATTCACGAAATCTCAGGGGCAGGAGTTGGGTCCTTTGTTAAAAGTCAAGAATTGAACTTTCATGTTAAATCCTGGCAGGGTATAACATGAAAGTTATCCAGCCCTGCTGCCCTCCAGCAGTGCTAGGATATTTTGAGAAGTGATGGGATTTCTGGATAATGCTGATGCACTTTGTCTTCCACAGGTCTCTTAATGCACACAGGGGGCTGAACAGGATAAAATTAAAGGTGTCACATTAATGAGCACTGTCTAATCAATGCTAATAAAGGGAAATACAAGAGTGTCCCTGACCCTCTTCGTGTATTTGGGGGAGTATTGGCCTGGATTTCCATCAGCCCTTCCTGCCCAGCTGCTGCAGCACTTCTCGTGAGACTCTTGGCTGCAAAAACTTACTTCATGTTAAAGGAATATATATATGTCTAAATTTATATCCTGCAAATGTCTAAAGGGAAAATGGCACAGGAATATGAGAGTCTCTGTGCAGTGATAATCTATGCTAAAATCATCAGAATAAATCCATGCTGAAATAAATCAGCACAGGCATCAGAGGAAATCAATTTACATCAGCTCTGAATCTTAACTCACTGTGAACTACCATAAAGCACTTGGAAAAGAATTTTATTCCCACTGTGGAGTTACTGGATGGTTGGGAAAAGAAGTATTAAAAAGAGTTTCTTCCTCTGTGGAATTTTAGTGTAATGGCAACAAAGCCCACATAATTTCTGCAACACTCAAATTGCTTCTACTCCTACTGAATACTTAAAGGTGTGTCCACAATGGCGTTTTGCCATGAAATAAAAAACCTGAAAATGGAAATATCAATTTTAAAACTTAATGAAAAGAGGGATCAGAGATGGATTTAAATAAACTGGGCCAAAAGATCTTCCAGGAGTTCACCCATCAGGCCCTAATTTTCTGCCATGATCCTGCCAATGCTAATTGTTGCTCCAACTCTCAATTATTTTAAAGGAGTTTTCCATGGATCCAGGAACATCCTGCATCCTAGGAAGTGCAGAGAGGATTAAATCCAGGCTGATACATGGTAGGAGGAGTTACATCTATCCTCCCCAAAAGATTATGAAAGAACTGTCCTTCATTAATCATCGTAAATTAAATTACTGAGGGGAGTTGTGCTTGACAACAGACATCTCTTGTTTTATTATATTGGAGCAGAAAATTAAAATTAAGAGTTATAGCATAGAAATTACCATGGGAGTCAAACATGTTACTATGAGGAGGTAAAAATCTAAAATCCTACAGCTTCTCAGAGAAACAGCCTGATTTGTTTTTGTTTTGTTTTGTTTTGTTTTTTTGCATACAGACTATCACTTTTTTTGAGGGTAAGATTCCCTTTCTGGCCACACAAACAGGTCAATCAAAATGTACATTCGATCTGCAAATTAAAAATAACCTTACAATTGATTTTCTTTCTTTTAATATCCAGAGAACCCCTTCAGGAGGCTCAAAAATAGCATTTGAAGAAGGCTGTTAGTGTTGGAGTGTGTTTCTTAGAGGAAATGTCCTGAGCACCATGATGTGAATTATCCTTAAACAATCCTAGCAATTAAACAATTCCCCATCATGTACCCAGCAACGAGCCAGGCTCTCTTCAGGGTTCTAGACAGGGATTGCTCTGTCAGGGGTTGTACAATTCAAAGAAAAAATCTGCTATTCTCTCCAAACCACATCCTGCCCTGACCTGCACCACAGCTAAATGCAGAATTTCTGGAATAAAGGCATGGGATATTCTGGAATTGCAGGATTTCTGGAATAAAGGCATGGGACATTCTGGAATTGCAGGATTTCTGGAATAAAGGCATGGGACATTCAGGCCTCGCTGTCACTGCCTCTCCCTTTCATCCCCTTGCACCCCCAGGCCCGTGGGAAGCATGGGTAGGTGCTAAGAAATGGCTGTTTTCAGTGATTGTACAGGTTTTTAACATTATAATCTCTTCTCCTTCCCCAAAAACCTAGAGGGCAAAGCATCAAGCTCTCAGCCACGGCTGTCCCTGCTTGTGCCAGCCAGCTTTGCCTTCCTCTGAGGTGCAGGATGATCATAACTCAGGGAAAAAATGGAATTTTGGCCTGTATTCTCCCACTGTGAGAATCATTGCTGCTCTTTGGGAGGGGATGGCAGGACAGGACATTGATAATCACACAGAGGTGCAGAGAGGTTTGGGTTTTGGTGGTTTACTGCTCCCAAATGCTGTTGTTTTATAAGCTAAGAGAGTTCATGAGAACACATGCCCCCAACCCCACCTGAACCTTGTTGGCAATGTCATTTCCCACTTTGCAACAACATCCCAGGAGATAAACCCAGATTTGATGTGCCACAAGACAGATGTGTGATACAAGGAGTCACACACGGCCCTGCAGGTGAAAAACCTTAGGCAGACCCTAAATGACTGCTCAGCACCTACTAAAATCCAGATGGGACCTGTTAAATGGTGTCCAGGGAGGTGGCAGAAGGGTGGCACACCAAACTGCCACTCCCATGTGCCAGAAATTGCATTTATCCCTTGGGATGCAGCCTGGATCAGCTCCAAGCCAAGCAGGGAGATCTGGCTCCAAGCGTTTAAATTTTCCCATCAAATCTTTAACCCAAATAATCCATTGGCCCTGTATCAAAACCCCTTGTTCATTCCTGCATGGAAGTGTGGTATTAGTAAATTCTGCATGTAAAACCACTCCAGAAGACACCCACTGGATGTATGGAACAGCAGCTGTGCAGAATGATGGCTTTGAGAAGAAGTTAAGAGGACTTTGGCATTTTTGCTCCTCACTGTTGTTTTGGTTTGTTTTTGTCACAAACCATCCTGACCCATTGGAAGAATATGCAAGTCATCCTCCCTTATGATTATTTTGCAAGCAATGATTGTCGAAACAAGGCTAGAAAAATTGCAGGCATTGTAACAAATTAAACTCAGGACTGCATTTCCAGCTGTCTGGAACAGCTCCTTTGTTTTAGACAACAGTTCCATTAATGTTCCAGAGTCTGTGATTATTTGAGCTCTCAACAACATCCTGTTATTCATTATTTCTCTCCAGGAATGAACAACCATGATCCTGAGAGCTTTGAGGTTTTAGGAAAAAGTCCAGTCATGTCACAAGCTTCATGACAGTGTTTTGCAAGTGAGTCCTTTCCTATCAATTCTAAACTAAAAACATTTTCCTACTGTCTGTTTATTCATTGTTGTTATTTGTTACAATAGGCTTTGTTGGTTTAGACCAGCAGTTTACACATAGTGCTCTGTGCTTCCCAAAGGGCCAGGAACTGTTTTAAGGGAGGCAAAAAAGGAATTTAAAGGGGCACAGGGAAAACACCTGAACCACTGGAGTTACTATGAGATGGCAAATGAAGGAGACATCTGGGATCCCAGGTCTTGTAGGGTCTGAGCAGCTACTCAGGCTCTCTCTGCAAACCAGATTAAAGTCCTGGTGATCTCTCTTGCAATTAAACCTTGTTTTTCTCTATAGGTGTTCCCTAAAATACTGTCATTCTCCCAAAAATGCAGGGGGAAGGCATAGCAATTACAGATATGGGAAATCTGAGAAATACACTGGGAGAAATGACCCAGCTCAAGAAATCAATGGCCAAAGTTTTTCAAACCCCAGATGAATGCCCCTCTCTCAAGACTTGTCATGTAAAGAAAAGGGGAATATTGCCCTGGGATGCCATTCCAGCAGTGATTGCTCTGGGACCTGGAACCTTCCAGCTCCTGCACTGACTACAAAGCAGAGCTGGTGGGCAACAGAGCTGGGGAAGGGTTTGGGGCACCAGGAGGGGCTGAGGGAGCTGGGAAGGGGCTGGAGAATTCCTGAGGGAGCTGAGAAGGGGCTGGAGAATCCCTGAGGGAGCTGGGAAGGGGCTGGAGAATTCCTGAGGGAGCTGGGAAGGGGCTGGAGAATCCCTGAGGGAGCTGGGAAGGGGCTGGAGAGTTCCTGAGGGAGCTGGGAAGGGGCTGGAGAATTCCTGAGGGAGCTGGGAAGGGGCTCAGCCTGGAGAAAAGGGGGATCAGGGGGGACCTTGTGGCTCTGCACAGCTCCTGCCAGGAGGGAACAGCCGGGTGGTCGGGCTCTGCTCCAGGAACAGGGACAGGAGCAGAGGGAACGGCCTCAGGCTGGGCCAGGGCAGGCTCAGGGTGGAACCAGCAGGAATTTCCCCATGGAAAGGGAGCTCAGGCCTTGGGACTGCCCAGGGAGGGTTGGATCCCCATCCTGGAGGTGTCCCAGGAACTCCTGGACGTGGCACTCAGAGCTCTGAGATGGGGATAATTTGGGGATTTGGCACAGCTGGGACTTGAAACTCTTGGAGGGCTTTTCCAACCTGGATAATTCTGTGGGTAAATCCCACTGCAGGAATTGATCTTCCAGGTGCACAGCAGCTCCTGGGAGCCAGGTCAAGGCCCTCTTGCCTCATTTAGGGGATCCCACACCTGAAGGTTTTGTTCTGGTCACATCCCAGTGCTGGGGTCAGGGCTCAGGGCACTGGGCCCAGACACTGAACAGACACCAGGAACAGCCCCAGGAGGGGAGATGAGAAAGTTCAGATGGGAAACAGAAGCGCAGGCAGTTCTCCTGGCAGCTGGGAGCAGCAGAGTTTGGCTCCAAGCTGAGCTGCAGACCTGTTGAATTGGCCAGCAGAGACGGAGCTGCAAACGCTGCTGGAACTGAGCTGAGCCTTCCTGGTGCCTCCAGAGATGATCTTAACCCTGAATTATGAGGCAGCACAGCCCAGGGGCAACACGTGATAGATGGCTGCAGAATGTCCCAGGCAAGGCAGACACAGAAGGATTTGATTGCCCTTATCTTGCCCCACAAAACAAAATATTGCAATTTAATGTGGAATAATTGCATCCCCTTTTTTATCCTCTTGACATTTGAGACCTCAGAGAAAAATATAAAAAATAGCTTGTCCATATTGCTTTGTTAACTATTTCAAAGGGGATTAAGACAAGATTTTTCTATATGTGACAGAAAGGATGACTGAGTTTTAAACCCATAAAGCCAATTTTGCTTGCTGAGGATGTAACCATTGATTCAAGCTATGGGTGCAGTCAGCTGGAAAACCAAAGCTAAAACATTCCTGCAATCAATTCCCAATCCATAGCATGACATCTATCCCAAGAGACTTAACTTACCCCAGTGCTCACCACTCCTCACATCATGATCCATTGGCATCAGTGTTAAGTAAAGCTAATGAGAAACAGCTCAAATGTTTTGTACCATCCCATCATTTCATCCCCTCGGTTAACATTTAGACAATAATCTTAAAAATAGAACACAAAACACACTTAAAAATATTATTAATATTTTCAGTGGATTCTGATTTTGCACAATGTTGCACTTAAATTTTTATTATACTGGTCAGAAAATAATTTATCTTTTCAGAGTTAATGTATATCTTGCTTATAGTTATGTCCCACAGGACATCAGATAGTCCAAAATTAGCTCTTAAAACGTCATGAATTGCAGAACCTTTGACTCCCTGAGATGAAAAACCCCTTTATTCTTGAAATGCACCTTGATTGGTCCAACAAGACTAATTAATCATGGAAAGTTATTCCATTAATAGACACTCCAGCATGATCAAGCAAACTTGAGGCATCTGTAGTGGCAAATTTTCGTTTGGGTTTGGGAAACCAGGTTTGGAGCATTGTGGAGCACATCCTCCTCCTCACTGGGGCTGGTGTGTGGGAATTCTGAAAATCTGTGCCTGTCTTTGTGAGCTCTTTGTAACAGCAGTGGTTCACATGTGGAAATACGGCTGGATAGAGCCCTCAGGTCACTGCAACAGAGTCTGACTTGGGGAGGATGAGCCTCTAGTTTATATTTTATAACTAATACATTTGATTAATTTATATTTTTATACTACCTTCAGTAATACTTCACGTTTCTGAAAGCAGGAAAAAGCGGTGAACAAGCCCATATTCTGAATTGCAGGCAGACTTCTGCCCAGCATACACAATCCATATCAGAATTAAAAGCCAGAAGGCACATCCTAGGAGCAGCTCCCAGAAGAAAGGGCTGCTCTGTACCCACGGGGAGATGCTCAGAGGAACTCCTGCCCTATAGCTGGAGTTTAGCAGGCTGCTGGTGGGTCCTTCATTCATTCATTTCTGCTCTGCCAGCATTGTCAGAGGTGTGCACTGAGTATTTCCTGGCTCCCAGCTGAGTCAAGCTGGTTTAAATCGATCTATTGAGGAAAGCAGATGGGCATGCTCAGGCAGATCTATGGGTTCAGTGGGTTTTGCCTCTGGAAGAGAATGGGCTTTATTGCACCCTGACAGATCCAGAGAATGAGAAGTATCTGCAGCACTCTTAAAATCCTGGGAGGAGTTCTGGGTTGCTACAAGGATGCTCATTCCTGTGAAAGTCCCAGATCTTCCCGAGTCAAAAATCCCCACTGTACCAGCAGCCCTGCCGAAAATTGGCATTGAAATGCAGCTCCCCGGGGTCGCTCGGGCTGCTGTCCTCCCCTGGCAGCAGGGCAGGAGACCCCTGGAAGAAGCCTGCAGGGATTTGATCCCGGTAGGTGCAGGCTCAGTGATGCTCTTTTGCTCACAACAACCGCGTTTCTATTCCGTGAGCTGCATTCCCTGCCTGGGTGGGGCATTTCCCTACCTTCGTGCTGGGGGAATTGCCTAAGAAACAAAAAAGTCGCTGTTTCTCCCCAGCCAGGAGGGCAGGGCGGGGTGTTTGTGAGTGCAGGGGGGTAGGGGGGATCTTCTTTCTTCTTGTGCCCCCCTCTCGTACACCTGCAGAGAGCAGCGGACAGCGGCCGAGCTCTGGAGGGGAGGCTCTGGAGAGATGCTGCTGCCACACGGATGCAGGGGACATAAAAGCCAGCGGCTGCAGGTGGAGAGGATCAGTCCTCTCTGCAGCCTATCGCCTGCCCGAGTTCTCCCCACACAACATATATAAATATATATATAAATATATCTCTCTATATATGCACCCACCTTGTCATTCAGGTTCTGCAGCGCCTCCTTCCCCGTGGCACTCCTGATCTCCACCTTTCTCCCGAATTCAACAGATGGTTCCCCTCCCTTCCCGCTCTGCTTGGAATAGACGGACTGAGCATCTGGACCCAGGTGGGCAACATCCTTCTGCTTTGCCACCACTTTGTTACATCCGCGGCCCACCGAGAGCGAGTCGAAGTCGATGGTCTTGTTCTCCAGGGAGCCTTCCACCGGGCAGAACATGCCACAGAATTTCTGCCGAGGCTTGGGACTGCCCGAGCCCAGGTTTTTGAAGAAGGCTGGCACTTCTTCTTCCTCGCCCTGCCGCCCGTTCTGCTTCCTCTCTGCCATGGCTGGGGTGGTCTCCCTGCTAAGGGGGAATAACAACAGCGGTAACCAGGAGGATCCTGCACACACACACACACACACACACACACACACTCGGAGAGAAGAGGTGGGGAGGGAAAAAAGGAAAGCGATAGGAAAGAGACGGATCTGGGTCCTAGAGACACGGCAACATCAACTGCAAAGGGCTGTGCCCGGCAGGTCCCCTGCCCCCATCGGCACCGCCAGCCTGTGCCTCGCTCTCCTCCTCTCTTTCTTTGATGCAGCGCAAAGTTAAGCAAGGATGGGGCAGATCCTGCTGCAATAAAGGGAGGAGGCTTCAAGTTCCCAGCATCCAGATGCGGAGGGAGGGAAAAGGAGAGAGAGAAGGGAAAAAAAAAAAAAAAAAGCTCACTCTGCAGCAGAAACTGAGGACTGCTCCGGAAGTGATGCGGGTGGTGAAGTGGCAAATGGACTCGATCAGGTTGGAGCAACAGCCCCCTTCACACCCACCTCTCGCCCTCCCCTTCCCCGGCGTGCGGGTCTCGCTGTTCCGGGAGGCTGAAGGGTCCGAGCGCCTCCTCCCCTCCGGCCGCTCCTCCTGCCCGGCAGGGCGGCGAGGGGCTCTGCCCGTTCCCTGCCTCCCCCAGCCCAGCAATGGAGCAGTGCTCCGGGAATCCCATTGTTCCTCACTGTCCCCGAGGGCGGGAGCAGCGGGATCGCAGCTGGGTCAGCGGGGCTTGGGAGCAGAACGCTGACTCAGCTCCTTGGGGCGCCGCTGACCCTCCTCGGGGGGGAAAAGGGCTGATGGGTGGCATTGAAGAGAGGATGAAACAGAGATAAGGATGGGAGAGGGATATAGGAAAACGAGCTGGCAACGGGGACTTACCTCCAGAAGGCAAAATTATTGACCTTGGGAGTCAGTAAAGGCTCTGCAGTGCCGGGAGACCCCGGTTCCTCCCTGCGGGAGAGGAGGAGAGGCAGCCAAAGGCGGCTACGGCTCAGGGCAGGTTTCTAGAGGAGGAGACAGAGCAGCCCCGCGTGCTCCTGCCCGTGGTGACAGTGACCCTGCGAGAGATGGCGACATGGGGGACATGGGGGCAGAGGGAGGATGGGGCAAGGGCAGGGAGGCAAAGGGAAGAGGGGGGCAGAAGGGAGATGGGAGCAGAGGAACGATGGGGAGGAAGGGAGAGATGGGGTAGAGAGAAGACGGGGGCAGGGGGAGATGGACAAAAGGGAGAGGTTGGGGCAGAGATGGGGGAGAAAGGAGCAGATGGGGGCAGAGCGAGGGTGGGGAGCAGAGAGGAGACAGAGGGAGAAGAGAGATGCAGCGCAGAGGAGATGGGGAAGAGGGAAGATGGGGATAAGGGAGAGGGGTTGAGGTCAAGGGAGAGACGTGGGCCCGGCCGGTCCCGGCCCAGCCACCGGCGCTGTCCCTTCAGCACCACCCGTGCCCGGCGTGGGGCGGCTCGGAGCCCGGAGCCCGCCCGGCTCCGCTGCTCTGCTCCAGCCCAGCGCCTGCTGAGCATCCTGGCATCCTCTGCCACTTATCCCCCGGGGCTTGCACCGAAACGAGCCGCTCCAGGGACAGGGAGGTGGAGGGAGGGCTGGGGTCATTCCCAAAGGGACTCTTCCAGTGGAGCCCCCAGACCCTGGGAGCCCCTGGGGATGTGGGAGTAGAGCCAGTCTGGTCACAAAGGTAAGAGTGCAGCATACAATAGGTCGAACGTGGCCGTCTCCACCTGATAATGCGTTTTTTATGTGTGATTTGGGGCCCTCAGGATAATCCATATGCAATATTTGTGCGGGCCAAACCCAGTGGCCAGGCTGCTCATTGCCATGCATTATTCATTGAGAGGCATCTTTGCACATGCGTGCATTAACTGTTAATTGAGAGGTGTCTGTATCCAAATAGATCCAAGCACCTTTGCAAGACTTCAAAAAAAAAAAAAAACAGAAAACACTAAAAAAAAAAAAAAAACCATGGTGTATTTAAAAAATAATAATCCCAGAGCTATCTCTCCCTGCAAACCACACCCAAATCAAGGCATTTGTATCCAAAAGGTGGAAAATCACCAAAGCCAAGGTCACAACCAGTAATAAATGCACAGTGCAGCGATAAAAGACTCCAGACTAAAAGGAAAAAAAAAAAATAAGCCTGCATCTTGGCCCTGAAGGATGAGGATGATGTGCTGTGGTAACTAATGAAGGAGGGAGGAATCCAAAGGCAGGGGCTCTCCAGGGAAACAGCCCCACCTCCTTCCCCTCCTGGGATCATCCCCGAGGACCCAAGCAGGGTTACAGCCCTGCTGATCCCAAGTGCTTGGCTGGGGACTGGAGCCCAACAGATGGTCTCTCAGGTACTCACAAGTGCTGCTTTATTTCAGGTTTATAAAGGTTTATAAATATTAATTGCCAGAGCCCTGCTGATCAGGCAGCACCGGAGCTGTGGCGAGTGTTGGTGGAGGCTCCAGCAGGAGGGAAGCCTCGGAGTGATGGTGCTGAGGTGAAGGCAGTGGCTGTCAGGGACAGCTGGAATGCAGCTCCTTCATCCCTTGGCACAGCCCTGGGAGGTGCTCAGATGGCCACAGGCTCTGTGGAGGGCTGGGAAGGATCTGCCAGGAAAGCCAGAGGCTGTGCAGGGATCCAGACAGGAATGAAATCCTGCAGACAGGACTGAACCTCCAAATGTCTCAGAGCTGGGAAAGATCACCCCCAAAGGCTGAGTTTTCCTGCTCTACAGATCTGACTCTTTCACAATAACCCCACAACAGACAGAAAACCTCACACCGAATATCCATCTCCAAGTGCTTCCCCCTTCCACAGGCACTGAGGACACACTCAGCAGTATTTCAGTTATTTGGGGTTTGTGTTTCCAGTTGGGCTTATGGCAACTCTGTTGAAGGCCTCACCTGTGTCTGCTGATCTGCTGCTGGTCTCCTGTATCAAACCAAAAATTATTTCAATCACCCAGAGGAAATTCAGACATTCTGAACTGCAAAAAGACATCCTCCTTTGGCTTTATTCTCATTTTTGAGTATTTCAGGGCAGTTGGAATCACACTGGCAGCTTCAGTCTCCGTGGAGCAGCTTTTTATTCTGCTCCCATAATGAGCATTAATTAGTTCTTGCTGGATCAGTTATAGGGGTGTGCAGAATAGAATAAGCTGAATGCTTATTTGCAGATAAACCATTTAGCAACAGATGAAAATGGGTTAAATTTACAATATAACATGTGGATATATTAATTGATAAAAGAAACAAAAGTGGGAAACTAAATAGAAACACTCCTTCAGCTTTTCTGAACATCCTTAAACTCTGGACACCTTGGAGGAAGTGACTTCCACCAGGAATAACAGCCCAGAAAAGTGATGAATAGAGCACTTACCTGAAACTGCAGAGGAGAGTGGCAGAATCGGCCTAATTTAAGATCCTTTTATGCTCCTGCACAAAAGTCCTGAGTGCCATAAGTACTTCCTGCCTTCAGCACTCAGCACCCCGTGAGAGGAGAAAATCCCTGCCTGGGATTTGCCTTGGCAGAGACAAGGAGAAGGAACAGCACAAAGAGCCTGGACTGCACAATTTTCTTTTGCAAAAATAACTTTACACCGAGAGAAAGGAAATGTGAGCACAGAGATAGGCAGTGCTTGTCCAACAAGGGGGAAATTGTCTCTTTACTCTCATGCTGAGACTCCCTCGGTGCACAGAGCCCTGGAATCTGACAGGAAAAACTCAGGAGCACGGGGTGATGCCTGTGTCACACCAGTGCTGAGCAGGGATTTCTCATCTCCTGCTCCATCTGAAATCCCACCTTTTACAAGAGCCTGGAGTGGCAGGACAAGGGGAATGGCTTTAAACTGACAGAGAGCAGTTTTAGATTGGATATTAGGGAAAAATTCCTTTCTGTGAGGGTGTGGACAGAATTCCAGAGCAGCTGGGGCTGCTCCTGGATTCCTGGAAGTGTTCAAGGCCAGGTTGAGCCTGGAGCAAACTGGGATAGTGGAAGGTGTCCCTGCCATGGCAGGGGGTGGGATTGGGTGGAATTTTAAGTCTCTTCCCACCCGAACTGTTCTGGGGTTCTCTGATTCCACTCCTCATGAATGAAATATCTAATGGTGCTTTATTCCGTTTCTTTCTCACAGTTGCTTCCAAGAGAACAATCAAACTTGTTTTGAATCAGAAACAAGCCAATATAAGCTCTATGTTGCTTTATTTGTCTTCCATCCTTAGGTGAGATAATTGCTGCAAATCCAGAATTTTCTTCATTATTTAACAATTAAGAACTCAGACAGAAATTACAGCAGTTTATTCCACCATTAAATTGCCATTATTAAACTAAATGACAGCAGCTACTTCCAAATCTAGGGCTCTTCCTATTGCAAATAATTAATTATTGTACTTCCAGTGGGTGCAAGATTTATCATGCAAGGCAGGATCCCAGTGAAATTCGGGTATTTGCAGAAGCAGAACTCCACTGAGTCGATTCTCCAGTGAAAATGTGCAAAGAAACCTGGCACAAGCCACTGTGGCAATTGAAGGGATGGCTTAGAGAGCTCCAGCCCGGGTCTCTGGAGGGGATGATCTGTGAGGTGCCTTCCAACCCAAACCACTCTGATTCTCAAAGAGAACCTCAACAAAGCTTGAATAGAAATCAACAACATTTTAGGGATG